GCATAAAATCGAGCTGTAAAGCAGTAGAAGACGGAAGTAGTGGCTTATTTGGATTGCTCTAACTACTGTTGATGTCAAGAGATAGTATGAGTTCGGTTAAATTTAATAGCACTTGTAGGCCTCATGACGTTCAGAAGTTCTATCTGGGAGTTTACAATACTTTAAAATAGTAGATTGAAAAAGCTTGTCGGATTCAACGTACCGGGGGCCAATAAGGTATTAGAAGAGAGATAACGTGGCAGAGAAGACCTGTGCGTCAAGAAAACGCCCTTGTGGTGGTAAGTAAGGGGGCTATATCGAAGGCTGCAGTGTCATCTGTTATGAGCGGCAGTATAAATATGAAGGCTATGATTCGCGAGATTTGTAGCAAAGAGTTCCATAACAACAATACCTAGGAAAGTTACCGGTCCATCGATGGCGGGAAGGCAGTTGAAATAGCTGAAGTATCTTTTACGTACGAAAATGGACACTTCACAATAGGACTACCCTGAAACTTTTAAGATGGACAGTTTGTTTGTAACAGGGAAGTTGCTATTAAGGGGCTTGTGAGTTTGAGGGAGAGTTCGGGGCTTTTCCAGATCTCTGGACTAAGTATGAAGAGGTTATTCGAAGTGTAAAGAAAGGATACACTGATAGCCTGATTAATAAGAATGAACCAGGAAAGTGGTACCTGCCTTCTCACCCCATTTTTAGCCCAAAGAAAAAAGTAAACTTCGTGCAGTGTTCGGCTGTTCTCCGAAACATGAAGATGTTTTCTTGAATGATAATTTATTTATTGGTTCAGGCTGAGAAGGATCATTAGTCGGATTACTGCTAAGATTTAAAAAGTTTCTGGTGGACATTGCCGTAAATATAGAAGAAATGTTCCTACAAGTGAAAGTGCTAGTTAGCGATGGAGATCATCTATGGCTTTTGTGATCCATGGGGTACAGATTTATCTATTCGATGCCACGTTTCTCCCGTTTTCTGCTTAATTTGTCCTTCGCAAAGATGCCCACGTTCGTTCCTAGTGATTTATTGGGTGTCGTTGATGACTGTTGCTGTGGATGTTCCCTGATCTCTATCGACAATCATGAGTCTGCGGTTAGCTTTATACCAAGTGTTTTCATTTAACGTAAATAGGTCTCAAACAGCCTAGATGTTTTGAAGCATGTAGTTCCAGAGGACAGCAACCACCATATGATACTGGCCTACTGATACGCTGCCGATTGAACGAATATAAGGCTCGCAGTGTTATGTTAACTGCGATACCCCTGGATTTAGTTGGGAGGGTGTTATTAAGCCAGTCACTCTAAGTTGTGTGCCACCTGTTTTTGACCCACTTGGACTAGTAGCACCTTATCTACTCCCTGTAAAGTAGTTATTTCAAGGGACATGTAAGAAAGGGTTGCAGTGGTATGACCCTTAAGTGATGAACAAACTGAAGAGTAGAAGAAGTGAGTTGATGATCTATGATCACTGGGTCAGTATTCCGTCACATATCCACCTATGCCATCGAAAGATGGTGACATAGTTCGCTCCCATGTTTTTTCCAGTGCCTCTTAAGTTGGATATGTAGCTGTTGTTTACATCGGATATAGATGTTCTCCTCGAAATGGGGAGATCTAGAATCTGTTTCGATTCAAAAACTAGAGCCTACCACTGCCTTGCTGGCTGTCCGGCTGATTACAACAGCGAATAGGAAGTTGAATTATCCTGTGTACCCTGCATCTTCTTGGACATTTCCCATGACCATGAATATCACCAAATGTAACGAGTCGGCAAGGTTCACGTGTTTTGTGGATAACAGGTCTCAAATTTGTAAAACAATTGGTGCCGACCTATGGCGGTATGTAAGTCTAGAGGGAACGCTACTGACATAACACCAAGAGTATTCACTGAAATTAATTTCGTTAGGAATAAGTAGTGTAAGGGTCCTGAATTCTTGAGACGTGCTAATTGTGTGCCTCAGTATATAAGATGATCCATCAATATATGAGGATGTCTTAGAAATAAAGACAAATATCCATTTGACATATGGTTTAGAGAGATATTCATGTCTGCATCGAACATTTGAACATTATTCTTCCTAATAATAATTGCTGAAGACTGTTGTGTGGTTGCCTAGGTGTGTTATATATTTGAAAATCATGTGTGTTTTATGATATGATAACATGAGCGCTGGACCACTGAGAGTTAAGAATGTAGTTAATTCAGGAGTGGTGATCTTAAGGAGACTCAGTGGGAAGCATGAGCGAAATCACCAGGGAGGATAGTTCCTATTTCTCAGATTTTAGAATACGGTTGGATAGACTATTTCCACTAATATAAGGAAGGAATGCTGGATCCGGTGGACTCCTACAAATCTTAGAAGCACCATTCGAGACCCATCACTCAGCTCTGTGGCCTTGCAACCACTTTAACGCTAGGACATAACCAAGTCCTCAAAAGTTATTCGGGTTCGTCCCAAGTGTAGTCAAGCATTCGACAGAAGTACTGAGTAGTGATAGGAGGTGCTAACGTTCATAAAGAGAATGAAAAGTTTGTGGAATGTAGAAGAAAGGGTGCTTTTCTGGCTCAACGGATGATGGCAGCACTTCTAGGATGGCAAGTATTTGAAAAGAAATATCCATTCGAGTGTTCCAGAGTGCATTCACTCGGATGTTTTGTAGTAAGAGTGAGCAGTAGCTTATGTAAGAGATATGGTTGCCTGTCTACTTGTTTGAAGATGAGAGCCGTGCATGTTGAGATATTCCAAACATTAACTACAGATTCATTTGTGAAACAGAGGGTTAACTATTACAGAGATGATTGACGGGAGGAGAAGCTGAGCTCAACATACAAGGCATTGGAAAAGGAAGTGAAGAAGGATGCTGGGAATAACAAAGACACCTTAACGACAAACTGGCAGCTTAAACACAATAAGGCGTAAGCAGAAGAAGCTTCGAAACGCTACATCAAACAACCAAGTCTTCAAACGAAAAAGATCAACTCAGAAGAAGCCAACCATATTTTGTGAGAACTTTATTACCAAAGAGAAGGAATCAAGAGTACTCTGAGTTGGTCGCATGTAATGACTTTTGGATCAACCGTCATCTGCAACACGTCCAGCATAATACCACCAGTAGTTACAAAACTGCCAGTGAACAACAATCTACCGACAAGAACAGAGGTCTTCAATGACATGGAGTTACTGAAAGCCGGGAAGACAGCTACAAAGGAGGCGATTTCTACGGAAGCACTGCAAACTGACTATTGTATCTCATAGATTATCTTCATGCCACTAATGAAGGTCTCGGAGGAATAAGAACCAACTTGCACAGGCCCAAGAAAGAGCAACTTGACCTTTGGAGGAAGGGTGCTCGGAAGTGTGCTTCTGTCCACCCCGAGGCAAAATATTAATTCGCATCATCCTCGAGAGGCCAAAAAGTTCTCTTGATGCAAAATTGCGCCTGGAAGAAGTTGAATTAAGTAAAACCTTTGACACACTTACTGAATTGCATAAAATTAGGCACAGTCAGGAACTGTGGTTGACTTTGTGCGTCAACTCTTTCGACTGTGTTGTGAAAACAGGAGGTAAACAGGACTTTCACACGAATCTCCCACATATCTAGGTGGTATTATTTCGACTACAAATCTCACGAATCGGAACATAAAAGACAGATGGGTCTGATAATCGGTAAGGAAATTTACAGTATTCAGCACAGGGAAGAAAATTCGGATTTCCAGCATACTACACACTTTCACCAACATCTGCTTCCGTGCCACAGTGAAGATCATATAGTCAAAAGGGACCGGTAACAAGGAATTCTGAGAACGAACCAACCAACAACCAGTCGCCCGATAAATATGCAGAACTAAATGGTGATGGGTAGGGAACACGCTGAATAGACTGCTGGATGACATCATGTGTCATGCTCTAGAGTAAAACCTGAGTAAGAAAAGACAAGTTGAGTGTCCAGCAATGACGTGGAGAAGGTCGTATGAGGAAGAAATGAAGGCTAATTTGCAGTAGTAGAGCCAGCTATTAATGGCTGCAGATGGTTAAGAAAAGGGAAGGTGCTCTGCGAAAACTTCCATTCCACCAGAATCCCAAGGTAGTATTAACAACAAATAATAAGTACTACTGGAAATCCCGGAGCTTTACTACATTGGAAAAGTCAACTTCATGGGTGGTGCTATATCTGGCCTTAAAATAGCCGAGTTCCCAGTCTTCTGGTCATTTGGAGTTTTTCTTCATAATTGACAGAATAAGTGAGTTTCTGTTGACAAGCTTGTAGTTGGAAAAACTCACCTTCTAGTTGTCTATCCATCAAAATTTGCCCCACCGTTCATCAACAAGGGGAATGACTTACAGGGAAAAAAGGATTGTAAAGTCCTGAGGACTTCCACGCCACTAGATGGCTTAGTACCCGTAAAGCTTTAATCAGTTACTGTGTTAGAACCATATTCGCGTGACAGTTACTGCCGACAGAGTAGGGTAGGTTGTCTCCAAATTGAAGTTAGCCACTAAATCCCGGCTGCAACGCTAAGGTTTGTGTTATTATAGCACCAGTACTAAAGGAGTGTTGCTGATCTTAAGTGCTTGGTTTTACTTTAAAGACTGCCTGACCATTAGCTGACACTGGTTTGAGCATGTAGGTTCCCAACAAATTCAAGTGATCTATAGACTGAGTGAAATGATGATGTCACTAGAAGAGTAGTGTTTCTTCGACTTTTTGAGTCTGTTGCGAAATGAATTTATATCCTGATTATTGGTATTTCACCTGCTTTCTTAGGACATAACATTTAGGTTGCTGAAAATTCCATACTTGTACTGAAAATACGGTGTGGCATCAAGCTGTAATCAAAAATATAAAAATATAAATATAAAATATGGTTAACTATGGAAAGAGTATTATAATCTCTAGGGAATTAATGGTTCAGTAGTTATTCTAGATAATGTCTCGAGTGAACTCTCTGAGGTTTATCTGTACTCTCGTAACTGTCACATGTCATATATTTCTAAGGTATATGAATCCCAAGTTTTCAGTGAAGCTTCAGATAGGGAGCAGGTAACATTTAACTGTCTGTGCTGCAAAGCGTGGAAAGTGGATGATGTCAATACAGAATGTGAGGTTCTACATCTTGTCATCATCAGTAGATGTCCGGGAACAATGTAAGTGTATAACTTGTACACTGTGGTAGAATGTAATTCCATGTTGGATAAGTTTATTTCAATTATCAAACAGCGATGCAGTATTTATGCTGGAAATGTCATCCAGTTGTTAATATTCCAGGCATGCTGTATTAGTCCACGGAGATCTTCAAAAACAGCTGATTAATTTCAAGAAAGTTGTGGGATAATTTTTTTATTCTGTCACTAAATCCCTTAACGAGTAGCTTTGATATGTGTTAGTCATTTTTATTGGAACATTGTTCATTTCAGTTGTGGCTTTCAAAAATATTCTCTACAAGTGAAGGTTCCTATATATCTAGACGAGAGTTGTGTTAGAATTTTTGCATAATTTCCGTATCCTATGAATTCAAAAAAATCAGACTCCTTAGACTTTTGGTGTGTAGATGAAGTGGTTCGTAAGACGAAGTCGACTGTCCTTGTACTTGAGTCTTTGAAATCGGAGCAGCAGCAAATATCTACGGAGTTAAATTCAGCAGAGAAACCAGAGGGGGATAGTGAATGTGAAGCTATATACGTCACAGAAAAGTCAAATGGTTTAGAATCGATTATCAAGAATATATCTAAAGGTCTGGAAGATGCCGGCGTAAGTTGCTTTGGTTAATAAAATAACTTGCCTAAAGGATCTTATGATTTCTTGTGACTATCTCCAAAAAGTAGAAGCGGAGAAGCAAAAGTTAAGGTACCAAGCCCGACGTCTTTTCCAAGAAAATGCTTGGTTGAGGGATGAACTTGCTGCTGCTCAAGATGCCCATAGAAAGAGTGAACTTAAAATTGTCCAACTCGAAGAGCAAGTCAAGGGCCTCCAGTTTTACAATGAGCTTCGGAAGTTTGATTCTTCCGAACCTGTGGATTCTTCAGGATTAGCTGATGGTGATAAAAACGAAAGGACTGCTTTGGACCTCGGCTTTCCTCCAGATGATAAGGAAGAGGGCGATCAGTATGGTAAGCATTATTAAAGTCGTGTTTCGTTGTCGTAGTGATTACTTATTAATTTAACAAATGAAACTTTTTAATTGTTTAGGAGTTATATTGCTTTAAAATTATGTACACTAAGTTCTCCTGGATCATTGGGATTCATCTATTCTGTTACAGTCTTAAGTTTTCCTCCCTTGCAGTTTGACGAAGGATGGCATTGAGTTGTGTATAACCGACACCGGTCAATATCTTTCGGTCACCAGTTGAAGGTTTAGCGAAATTTTCATACCATTTTACGTTTAAAAAACTATGATTCAGACTACTTGAGTTATGGTGTTGCTAGTCTTGTAAGCTGAAGTAGTTAGAACGGGATTTAAGCCCTAGACTGACTGATTGGAAGTCAGGTTCACAAATCTCATATCCTAGTCCTAGTATTTATTGTAGGCGTTCCCACAAAATGTAAAAAAACGAGGGCTGTTCGGTATTTTCAGAGTTACATGAAATATTTTGGTCCGCATGATGACTTACCAAACGATAAGTAATAATGTTGATGACAGTAAGCTGATCTTTCTGTCTTCATTCCTGTCTGCGCATAGCCATCATTTTTTTCTACTTGATGTAGACTACGCGTATTAATATTGTCATTGATTTGATGAAGCCAAAACTGGGTTAATATTATTGGGACTGACTCTGTTAGCGGTAAAGTCATGATAGATGCAATCAGCCAGATATTAATTTTTTATCTGTAGTTTAAACTTCCGTTGATGTGTAAAAAATAATTTAATCTGTATCGCAGTTGTGTCGGTTAAATCTGACTTCTGTGTCTACCTCAGTGTGTGAGAATATTTCCAAGTGATCAGTCGTCTGGAGGCTCATTCTAGTCAAGATAGACAACAACAAAACACTAAACACTCCGTTACAACAAATATCCAATACTTGAGTTTTATTTTAAGTAACTAGTAAGATATCAGGTCATTATTTCTCTATCACTAATAGTTTTTATTCCCTAAATCAAGACAAAATAGATGAAAGATTCAACGTCAAAATAAGAATTTTGATTTTACTGGTAATGTCGATAAAAATACAACTGATAAGTAGAAGTAAAGTCAACTCATTAGGAAAAAGCACAGTGAACGGAGTAAATAAATGGTCCCCACGAAGTGTCGCGAGAACTACAGGTTTTTGTAAGGGTGTTCTTTGATTGGTGCAGATTAGTGATACACCTGAAAGTTCCATTTGTGACTAGCCTACGGCTGCGTCTTGTACCAGAGTGCTTAGATAATGTCAGTCTCAAAGTGAGTGTTGTGGATATCCTACTCATGCTTAATGGCTTACCACTAAAACTAATAATTTTATAACCAGTGTTTAATTTTCCTTACGAGGAAGTATACCTGTAGCCTTTACAGGATGTTGTCGATTATTCTAATACGACTAGTTTAATCGACCTTTGATCCGTTAGAAGTAGTATCCCCTCAGTTTTTCGTTGAGTATTTGATATTGTTACATGGTCAGTAGCCATTTGTCTTTTTAAAACTGTCTTGTATAATTTCGCTTGCTGATTTAAAAAAGTTGGGTACTATAACTTAAAAATAATAAAGGATATCAATTCAAATACGAGACTGACCTGAATCGTTCTTTTTACTTCACAGAGAATTCTACAGTATCAAACATTGATAAAATAAAGCTACTGTTATTATTTCCTTTTGAGTTGATTTATTTTTGATACTAGCATCGCTTTTTTAAATTATAGGAATGTCACAAAGTCAAACGGTATCCATGACTCAAGGTGTTCATAACTATGAGATTCCAACACGTTTGCGAACGCTGCACAATTTGGTTATTCAGTATGCTAGTGAGGGTCGTTATGAGGTTGCAGTTCCGCTGTGCAAGCAAGCTCTGGAAGACCTAGAAAAGACCAGTGGACGTGATCATCCCGATGTTGCAACAATGTTGAATATCTTAGCACTTGTGTATCGGTAGATTTTGTTGTTATGTTTTGTATTTTTTTCTAGCGATCAAGGTAAATATAGAGAGGCGGCAACTTTGCTAAATGATGCTTTGACTATCCGAGAAAAGACTTTGGGTCCTGATCACCCCGCTGTAATTTTTTCTATTTCGGTCTTAATATTATTACCTTTCAGGTAGCCGCAACATTAAACAATCTGGCTGTGCTCTACGGTAAACGCGGGAAGTATAAAGAAGCAGAACCATTGTGTAAGAGAGCATTACTGATAAGAGAAACTGTAAGTCAATGTTTGATATATATATGTATATGGTATAGGACAATTGACACTGACCCAGGTTAAGGAGTAGACTGGTTGGATATGCCGATTATTTCACTTATTTTGTAAGCCGCATTAAACTAATGGACTAGTTTGTGATGAAGCTTTAACCCACATTCTGTAGACTGGTTCAGCTTATCCAATTTGTGTCAACCTTGGGGCAGATGTGTCATCTAGCTACACATTTAAGTGATTGTGTACTGTACTTTAGTTCACTCTTGCCTTCTTTACAACTGAGACATAGTCGCTGCAGGTAGGTGATATGAAGGGTGCTTATTATTATAGGTTCTTTCGTCAGTTACTCACATTAAAATGGAACAACACAATAAGCAACAGTGAGGTGCAACGTAGAGGTTTAGGTAAGAAGGAAAAGTCAGTCATTTGAGGTAACTTGCATGTGTCCTACATATATCGAGTCAAGTCTTCCTTCGACTATTTGGGATCTGGTTACAATGGATAATAGCTATGGGTATTCAGACTAAAACAGGGCTTTAGTTTGTAGTCATTATATATTAGTGTGAGTTGCTTAGGGATGTTCCTTCGGACGCTAAGAATCGTTGGTTAGAGACTCAATGAGATAACTGAAAATTGCTTACACTGGCGGAGATGTATTCACCATTTGTCATCTTGTAGGTTCTGAAATTGTTCACTAATATCTGTTCTTATTCTTCTGTACATTATCATCCATTTCAGTCGCTCTACACTTATCATCTCTGAGCTAATGCGTAGTTTTATGAAGTGTGGCAAGTTGAACTGATATACTTTTGTACGAAGTTTTGCATTATGTCAGCCAGTTAGTTGTGCATAAGGCTATTATTCTTTATGTTATAAATAAATTTGTAGTGAATGTCAGTTGTTTTTATTTTGGTTATATTTATCATTTTGTAAACAGTTGACACTATTCCGTAATAGATGGCATCTAGTAGTAAGATCTGAGGAGTGTTCAGTCCTATAATGCTTTTGTTAGTCGGATTTAGATGCAGGGAGACCAATCGTTTCAGCCCAACAAAACATAAGCATCACTTGCATTAGAAGTTGCCATCGTGGCTCACTGGCCTAGTGCATAACTTATTGCACTTTTAAATGATGGATGGTTGGTTTGAGTCTCAGCGCCAACATCTCTCATTAGGATGCAAGTTTTTCCAGACAGAGAACTTCAGATCAGATGAAACCTCCATTCTTAATTTTACTTTGAACCGCCATCTGTCATATAACATTAAATGAATACTAAAGACTTTGCCGAGACATCTGTTCCAGGGAGCTCATATGCCGACAGAAACATATCATTTCTCTTCACTAAGACAAAGTGGGAAGTCATATGTTCCAGTATTTTCAGTTATATTCCAATTCATTATGTTGAGTAAGATTACTCCAGTAAATATTGTTTCATACTGCTTGTTTAAGTGTTGTTGCTACTATTTATAGAAATATTTTATGACTATTCAATACTTTGTAACCATAGAAGAGCAGATTGAAAAGTGCAGAATCTCGTTAAACATTGCATTGTTTCACTATTTCACATCTAATAATCAATCATCGAAAGAGAAAAGAAAGAACTGAGTATGTCACAACTTTCAATAATGTTGTTTTGTGTTTCTCAAGCGACCGTTTGTGCGTCCCATTTTCACAAAGTCACTTTACATCTCATAAGTGGAAAATAATACTGTCCATGTTATTACGGATGTGTTTAGTTTAATTAATGTGTGATGTAATTGTTTTCGATGTTTGTTAAGTTAAATAAATTGTGTTTGTCGCTACTGAACTTTCGCTAGGTTTATAATAACTAGATCTAACATACTGTGTTAAGAGAACTAATCCACTTTGTAGTTATTACGGGAAGAAATCATCTCTGTATCATATGGATGAGTGAATAGTTTGGACTGTTAGAAAGAAGAATGATACTTGTGTCTCCCATTGTAAATAACACTTATCAGATTAATTGGAATCTTTGAAACAAATTAGTCATTAAAATCTGTTGCTGCTCCAAGTTTATTTTGGTTGCAGCTTTAACTTTATCCAGAAACAAGGACTAAAATTCTCTTCCCATTGTGAGTACTTGGAGAACATATGTAAAGCATTCCTGACTTTGTTGGAGCTTGTTGCTCATAGTTTTTATATATTTTGAGATAGTTATGCAACTTGAACCTGACAGTCATATCTTATGATCGTTTTATTTTTCGTGATAATTTCTTTTTAGGTTCTAGGACAGGACCATCCAGATGTTGCAAAACAGTTAAATAATTTGGCTTTGCTGTGTCAAAATCAAGGGAAATATGAAGAGGTAAGCGTAATTCTATCGTTATTCTCTTGTCATACACATTACAATATGTATGTACTGTCGACATTTACTACATCTACGAAAACGAATAAATTTTGGAGTAAATTGACTCTTGTACAGTTGATATTAATATAATGTTCTACTGATTGGTAACTGTTACTTTGACTGACTCATGTTACCTCAGTTGTTAATCAGTGTGGTACATCTCGATGATCTCACCCGCCTTAATAACTAGCTGTTGTTTCTTAAAATTCTGTCATTTCACAAATATCGGCTAGATAACGGTAAGACTAGCAGCTATTGTGATAGTGTAGGGTTGCTTGTACTGGTGAGGATTTGAGGGTAAACTACTACTGGTGGCAGGTGGTTTGACGACAATAAGTTGTTTTGCTTGGATGACCAGCAACCCCGGGTTCGCTGGCTCACTAATTTTACAGGTAGCATAAAACTGGGTATCAGGGAAACAGCTTGCCGGGCATTTTGGGCTGGTAACGAGTTATTGCGTAAATGTAGTTTATCGGTTGAAATACTCAACTTCAACTAATGAACTGAGTTCAAATCCTGCTATATATGCCTCAACCTTGAGAATTCAACAGTGTAATAGTTTCTAGAATGATAATTGTGGCTTATATCATATCATCCAATAAGTATGTATTAGGTAAATATTTGTTAGTAAAATAACCTAAAATGCTATCATATATTGTCCCAAGTTATCAAGAAGTAGATCATGTCTCTTTTTTAAAATGAAATATTAAGAAAATCCCTTTAACCGTGGTTTATGAATATAAGAGAAAGAAAAAAAATGCTTCTCATCATCTATGTCGATTCTGATACACTTGTCAATGAGCCACACCTAATCTATGAGAGCTGTTCATACTGCCTTGCTGCCCAATCCTTAGTAGGTGAGGTAGGATGTGAACCCGTGATAAAATGTTTAAAAATCCACTATCTGCACTAAGAAACCGTAGCTACACAATTAATATCGTATTCTCGTAACTTAAAGGTTTATAGCTACAGCTATATTTCACTGTAAAACACCAAGTGTTTCTAGTTTTCGTTAACCTTGGAATTTAAAAAAGAAATATTTTCACAATCGTATTCAATTTGAACATGTGTGTAGATTTTTTTCTACGTTCACTGAGTCCTTAGTGTACAACAAGCATCTTGTATATTTATCTGTCATTTTGATCATTTGCTTAAGAAGTGTACACATAGCTTTGTAAGGTTTACTTATCCTTTCTATTTAAAGTTGCTAATTTATAACATTGAAACTTATAGCATTATCTGCTAAGAGTATCGATAAGTATGTTATTTGGTGCTTAATCGCATCTGGTAAATAAAGGACATACTTTTTCATATACCATACTGATTAGTTAAATTAAAGGTTTTGATTATTCACAACAACAACAACAACATCCATAGAAGGGTATACTGCGCTACACACACTTGTGCCTTGTGACTTTTAACACTATATCCTTCACTCTTTGTCAAGCTAAGAAAATATCAAATAATATTTGGAAAAAAAATCTGTTCTGTATTTTAACAGTCTTCATTGAGCACTACTCAAATGAATAATTTTATACTCAATGTGCAAAAGGTGAAGGTCTAAATAACATCCCTGGATAATATAAACCATAGTAAGTTATGCATTGAAAATATAGGTTGTCAAGCTGAGGGTGCTTTTTGTAAAGTCACCATTCTGTGGGTTCTGTAATAGTCGTGAATCAATGTAGAAACTAAACATACATTCAGTGAATATGACTGGTTAATATGTGCACTATAGCTAGCTTTCTGTCATACTCTCAATCTGCATTTTTCTTCACTGATACTGGAAGGATATTTCCATATATATATATATATATATATATATATATAAACACTTTATTGTTTGCCATGTATTTTGCTTATCTATGTATCATCATTACCATTATTATTTATCATTACTAGGTGGAGTTATATTATCAACGTGCTTTAGAAATTTATATGCATGATCTTGGACCAGATGATCAAAATGTAGCCAAAACTAGAAATAATTTGGTAAGTTTCTAATTTCCTTTATTTTGTTTTGTTTTCTTTCAATTCTACCCATCTTGACTGTATTTTGTAGTCGACTAGACTAGGTCATCGGTTCAAATTCTACTCCACCTCTAATGAGGTTTAGGCAGCCAGATAATATCAACAACCCTCCACTGAATAGGTGTAACCCATTTGCCAACCAACATGGTAATGCAAGTGTTTGTTAAGTAATACTGATCAATTGATTGACTTAACTATATTTTTGTAATTGATTCAGTGGATTGGATTGAAACCATTAGTCATTAGATTTGTCAGTCAGAGTAGTTTTGTAGATATTTAGTTACTTATAATAATAATAACCTATGGGGCTATTTATGTACTTTTCTCTTTCTATCCCTTCATATATGCCTTTATTTTTACTCACTTGAATATTTAGTATGTACACTTAAATTTGATGTATATACACAATACCACCACATAGTTATTGGAGTAAAAAGAATGTAAATCGATTTTCAGCCTTCCAACAATGTCTCATTGATTCAACTTATAAATTATTAAATATTTAGTCACACAAAATTTTGAAAATACTTTTTTTTTCCGGTTATGAGTGTTTTCTGCTATGTTTTGTATACCGTGTGCGCGCAACATAAATTACTTGTGTGTAAGGATGGAAGTTGATACTGGGTGGTTGGTTTGGATGGATAAGAGAACAATAATTTTGTCGTTAATATGTTTAAGGCTAAAAGAGTATTGAGTGAATTTGATTTCCTGAGTATAATCGCCTACACAAAACTTCTTGTGAATAATAAGCACTAAGCATCATTGGAGAATTAAACTCTGGCAATTACTTACTTTCTCTTGTGTTCACATTACCGAACTCCATGGTTACAAGGGTTGTTTAATATACGGAAATCTGAGATGGATGTTCTCTCTGAAGCGGTTATTTTCGTTACATACCTGGTTACCAATTCAACAAGATTTTGTAAATAGGGAAGCGCTCTGGTAAAGAAGATCATAAGTAGGAAAATATGTGACGAAGTGTATGCTGGGATTCTCTTGTTTGTTTATGTTGAGAATGTATCCTCTGCGCAATTGCTCATTTGTAAAAGAAATGAAAAATTATCACTGATTATAATAGAAAGCTCAATGTGAAACTTGTAACGTGAAGACAAGGGTAAGACAACAATTAGGACCAATAATCTTCTTGGTTGGTTGTGGTAGACTGGATCATACAGCAGATGGGAGAATTTAGAAGACCTGCATACATTGGGTCGACAAAAAGATACCAAAAGATCTGGCTTCCGTGTTGTTGTGTCTCACAAACTCTAAGATTTAAAAGCGAAAACCAACAAATCGGAAGAAGAGGCAGTGAGGACAAGACTTCAGGTAAATGTAGAGAAGACGTAGGGGATAAAAAATAACCAACCACAAACAATAATCACCATCAACAGGAGAAATCTAAAGGAAGTCATCTTTTTCACTTACCTAGGGGGCATTATTACATCTACAGGTGGCACGGATAAGGATCGAAATCGGAAGATAGATCTTCACTACTCTGAAGTCAGTAAGGAACTTTGCTGCACTTAGCACAAAGAACAGAATCAGAGTTTCTAATACTAATTTGAAGTTAGTGATTCTTTGTATAGTTCAGAGACTTGGTGTGCAATTCATCTACAGCACTTCTCACTGGCTGTAGATCTTCATCAATAGGTGCCTTCAACCAATACTGAAGATCAGGTGACCAGCTGGGAACAATGAAGTCTTGTATAGAACCAGTCAAGAATTTTACTATCCAACAAATATACAGAAGGAAATGGTGATATGGTTCACTTTGTGCCCTCCCAGATGCATTAAATACTCATGTTTTACCATGTCATTATTCTTTTTCCTGCACATTTCTGCTTAGTATAGTTTATCCTTTCTTTTCTCCACTTTTGTGTGGTACAAGGAATGTGACAACTTGAACTGCAGTACACTTATGTGCAAAGTTTTATGTGTGGAAATTCAGTCATTCAATCAGTCAGAGAAAGAGAATTAAGTAGACTTTATTTTATGTCGAGTGTTTTAGTTCCCTAAAATTTATGAGAAGTAAACCAACACGCACTTCAAAAACTAGAAAACTATAGGTAAATTTAAAAATTTATAAGTATTCTTGTGGGGGAATTAAAAGTACACCTTTAAACAATAGATACTCACACACACACACACACACACATGCACGCATCTTTTTCTCTGTGTAAAATCATAACGTGATCAGATGATATAATTAGAGTGCGTCATTTGAATTATGAAGCTGTTGTTTAGTATCTCAATATGTGAAATTAGTATGCATTACCAGTCTTCATATTTCTCTCTTTGTTTTTAAAAACTTTTGAAAGAAAAATACACACAAGAAGGTATAACTTAATGATTAAGTGGCGATACAAAGCATTGTTTAGTGCTGAACGTGACAATTCATTCAGAGGAATATATATATATATGACAATCACAATAATAGATTTAATACATAGCATTCATGTGATTGCAGTGGTTTTGCGACTCCATCATTGCACAATAAATCTCTGCTATACCTCACTCAACATATACTGTGTGCATATCAATTCATATAGAACATGTTAGAGGAGGGTTTATTTTTAGGCATACAACGTATAAATGCATAGTTATCTATCGACTGGTAGCGTATTATAGTCCTATATGGTTCATAATTTCTCTTTCATTGTTATTAAGCTAGCTAAAATAGATAAATTACAAAACATAACACGGTAGAGGATTATCATTTTTTGTATACTGAAATAGTTCAATAAAACGACTAGTGACATATACCGAGAGTTTATTCTTTTGGTAATTAAAACAAGTAATCACTGGGGCTTTTTTCTCCCTAATTCCGAAATGTTCATTACTTTTCTTACTATACAACAAATACGCTGAGTAGTGTCTTATACCAGTTTTGAACAAGCATTCTACGTATCCCAGAAAACTTCATTTCAAATTTGCAAATCGCAAAGAAGTTTCATCACGGCTTTGTTTTTGGAAACTGAAATTATTGAGATCACAATATGTGATCTGATTCGGTGATTTGAACTGTTTCGGCTGTCTGATGAGTCAAATAGGGTACACTGCTGATAAGGTTGACCCCCAAGCTACTTCGATCTGACTAGCACGCAGTACTTGTTGATGTGAGTGTTGTCCAACTGCTCATATCTATCAATCAGCAGTATATAGCGTCATGAAACTCGGTCTTAGGAAGTTTCATTCACTATTCCATCGAACTGTTAAACTGTCATGGATTGATTGATTGATTGATCGCTAGGTGTATTCGTGCACTCGTTTTATTTCAATGTATAACAACTTGGGCTGATACACTTATGCGTAAATTTCTACACTGACCTGTTAATCATTGAGTATATATGTGTAAACAGTACATATATCCAATAAAAAGACACCTATGGTGTTTTGGATCTTATCTGATACTGTATGATTGATTTTCTATGAGGTTTGCTTCCAGAGTAATTAAGGTTATACTTAATTTTGCAACACCTATTGAATTATTCGAATGCTATCGTTAATTCTTTGAATTTTCGTAGCAACTTGTTAAGAATTGCATTTATGGCTTCAATAACGCTAGTTAGTTAAGGATGGTTATTTTACTTAGGACTTCATTTGATATGTTCTAACTGGAGAATTTCTGGAGGCGTCGGTGGTATAGCGGTTAGGACGCTCGCCGACCATGCACATGGTCCGGGGTTGCATCCCCGGCCGACGGACTCCTTTACCTCGCTGAGCCAGAAATAATGCTGGTAAAGAGGAAAGGTTGGGCATGAGGCTAGCAACCCCATCCTGTAAAAATGAATAAAAATTGCTACAGAAACTTCAAGCCACTAGCTTGAAGCCCTATGTTCCACTGGGGAACGTGAAGGAAAAAAATTACTAATCCACTGTCTCATATCAGCCTCACTCTTCGTTTCGCACTATCTATCAACGTGTGTATTGGTTATTTTGTGGACATCTTCGTTTCTCATGGGTCTGTAAACGTATGACTCATTCACTTAGGCATTTGACTTTCTGATAACGTCTATCCAAGTTTAAAAATTACTCCAATTTCTCTTATCCGTATAACAAAGCAGGAGCGTTCCAATCTCTCACACATAAGTTCTATTTAATTGCAGTTCTGACGAATCTATACGTTTATTGCTGACGATTGCTACTTAGTCTACCCATTATTCTCTTTCAGGATAATGGATTCCGTGAGCATTGAGTTTGATCTCTACATTAAACATGGACACTGAAAGTTATTTTAATTCAGAGAATTTGTCGACTACTGTTAAGGCTACTTCGTTTGCGTGACATTCTCCCCTACTGTTATTAAATTTGTATGGTATTTTCATTAGTTGTAGTGGTCATTTTTTCAAATCTTACTTCAGAGACATGGTACTACAGTGTGCAGCTTTATTGTGATATGCCTTAACATAGATTATGCTATTCTTTTCCTCATGTGCCTTCTACTTGTTATCCTCACTGTTAATAAGAGTACTAAATCTGAGAACGAAGCAATCAAGAACCTGTTGCTCAACAAATATGCGGAGGAATATGGAAGTAGATCAGACACACACGCTGAGGAGACTGTCGAATAACATCGCTCGCTTGAGTGGAATCCGAATGGGAAATGACTAGTAGGACGTCCGAGCGTGACATCGAGGAGATCGTGCGAGGCGAATATAGGCAGTTATGAGACTAGCTAAAGAAGACCGCAGAGAATAGGGCAAAGTGAAAATGTGCTGTTAAAGCCCTATGTTCCACTTCGAACCTAAGGAAACAACAATGATCATAAATGCCTTATGCTGCTAAAATCGTAACCGTTGATTATTTATTGAAGAAGTATGCATAGTTACCAACCCACTTAGTCATAAAAATCATGTGTAATGTAAGTTTTAGGATGAATTTACCTCATTTCTTGGATAACATAATAATGAATTTTTCTCATCTACTTCTTTTTTCAATGATTCTAATAATATCTATAGGCTTCAGCCTATCTGAAACAAGGCAAGTATGCTGAAGCAGAGAAATTGTACAAAGAAGTTCTTACACGAGCTCATGAAAAGGAATTTGGAAAGGTTACTGATACTAATAAACCGATTTGGATGATCGCAGAAGACTGTCAGTCAGCTCAATCATCAAATAATACACAAAAAGATATAAAGGAATCTGCTCAATCGATGTGGGCACGTATTTCTCGTTCAGAAAAGTAAGATAGTGATGTTTTTGGAAAAATTTAATAGTTCAATTTATTCTTTTGCTTTATGTTATGTGTTTGTCTGCTTGAATAACCTTCACTGATAAGTTCTCTGTTCTTGGTTCTATCTACTGATACCTATCTTCTAGTGAAGAATGACTATGTTTTGTTTTCATTTTAGCTAGCTTAATCATACTAACAGTAGTTGCTTATTATAATACGGACTTTCAAATTGTGCGAGTATACTTTCCGATTGAATTAATCGAAACGTTTAGAAAGCTGGTGTTGACTGATATAAGAATAGAATTTTAGCATTCTGCCTCCACCTAACTGTACTACTTTTTTAGTAGTGTAGTTCTGTCCAGCCCTATTTTATGATACTGCACTCATTACAATTACTGAGCCTTTCTTTTCAGTTGACCATCCTTTTGGTATCCTGCGTCCCGATAACCTGACCTTGATCTGCTGAACTGACCTCACAATCATTGCAAGTTATTTTTTGTAGATAGTTGCTAAGTGATTTTGTAGGAAAAACTCTGTCGACTAAAGGACCCTGCAGACCCAATCAGACAAAACAATACCTTCCAATGACTGTGAGGTCGACTAAATAGGCCATTCCAATAAGAACGGGATCGGTTAGGTTACTGGAACTTAGGAGAATGTAGAATGTGAGCACCTTGATGTGACCATGAATAATCAATCCTATTTCAAAGCGCTTCAGTCTATATGGTAATAATTTCACCCTCATTTTTCCTTGCCTTTTATCAATTATCTTAACCCCTGAAAATGCGGATTCAATTTTGTCTCATTCTACTCTATTAGCATTTGTATGAACATGTATGACGAGTAAGTGTTTGATCAGAATGCTGGAAATGTCTTGTGCAAACAGGTTACACATTTCAGATAGGACTTCGTTTTCTTTCAAATAAAGTATAATTATATTTCAGTGATTTACACACAATGATAAGTTTTGTTATTGGTAATATTTCGAGCAAAATTACTGCCCGTGTCCACACCACTGTTGGAATTGTTTTGTTCACACATTTATGATTTGTACTCATATATACACATATATACACAGTTCATTTTGTTTTGCTCATTCATGATTTTTTGTATTCAGAATTATATTCCATGAATGAACGTGGAATATAATTCTGAATACAAAAAATCATGAATGAGCAAAACAAAATGAACTATACATATATGAGTACAAATCATAAATGTGTGAACAAAACAATCCCAACAGTGGTGTGAACACGGGCAGTAATTTTGCTCGAAATGTTACCAATAAAAAAAACTTATAAAATTACATTTGTAAAATCTCAGCGAAATTGAAATGATTAATTCGTGTTTCGTTCGGCAATCTGATCCGAACTTCTTCAGGGAAATTAATCGAAATTAACATAACAGCGGTATATATATAAAAGGAACATCTCTTGTTTTTGAAACTTTGTCCAATTTCGATTAATTCCCCTGAAGAAGTTCGGACCAGATTGCCGAACGAAACGTTGGAATTAATCATTTCAATTTCACTGAGATTTTACAAATATAATTTTATAAATGTCTACTTCTCACTCGGTGCTCAATTATTTTGCAACTATCCGGTCAAATCTTGATCAAAGTTCATATGAACAAAACTTATCATTGTGTGTAAACTATTGAAATATAATCATACTTTATTTGATCTCTTCCACAACGCTCAAACTTTTACTGACATTAATTCGTTTTCTTTCTTTTTGTTTCTGAATATCTAATATTCTGACAATACGTTTGTAAACACATTTCAATGTGAACGTATAGAGTAATGTTTCCTTATATTTCAGGGTGGAAAATGGAAAGTATATAAAAAATACGCTTGTCTATTTAACTCCTTTTTGTGTATAGTTGTGTGCTTGTCCAATTTCCATTTAAATGGTTTTCAGTTGCTCTTTTTCCTTTTAAATTTTCTATCCAAACTTCGCCTTTTATTATTCGGAGGTATCTTTAGTGGTTTTAAAATGTTCTCAAAACGTGTGTGTTATGCATTCAATCAACTAGCCTATCAGTAAATATTAGCTTTATTTTTTCTAAGGAAAGTAGTTGTACTGCATAATAAAGCTAATGAGCAAGTATTAACACATAACATATACAGGATAATTAATAGTGGGATGGATTTGACGATAGATGGTGGGTTGAGGAGTAAAAGCTTTTCATTTTCACCTACAAAACGATCGACTGAAAATGTATTTAAGTAGAAGGAAGAAACATTTTTCCATTTAGAAAGTGAGACCTGGCAGTCAAAGAGGTGCATAATGTTAACAATATAAAAATTTCGGGCTAGTATAAGCAGATTTAAATGCAATAATAACGCATCATGTAGGGTAAAATTGTGCCAGTTAAATCGAGCAGAAAGTAGTGACAAGCTGTCTCTCATCGCTTCTTGCTAAAGCATTTTTCCAAATTTACTTCTCCTGTTCACTGTGGTTATGATGGCTGAAAGATTAATTTATTTAATAAATCAAAAACTTGGTTCATTATGAGGGCTGAGATACTGCTGCCGATGCGCAGATCGAAGCAGGTGGTTATCTTAAGGAGCTACACTCCGAGTCTTAGATTTAAAGTCTGATGAACAAGACATTGGAGCAGCGTCAAGAGCGACATTGCCATGGTTTCTTGTGACCAAAACAAGTTCATGCTCTATTCGATTCGTTCGGATTCCGAAGCACATGTATAACACTATAGGTTTGCAGTGAGGGTTTTCCAGCTCTCCTATATAGACTTGTCTGTCCACCAGTCTGGTTTTATGCACCAGACGTTCGCCTTTTCACTTTCATTTTGGTGAGGAACATCCTGGCAGTTTGAAGCCAGTGAACAGGACTTCTTTGATAGTGGCTATGAACACGTGGCCACATAAGAGAACGTTTCGAGTGGAAGATCGAAGTTTACCCACACTCGAGCGTGTACCCTGGTTGTTCATGGGGGGTGGCTTAAAGGTAGTCTGTGACTCTATGCATATAAATTCAGTGAAACCAACAGAACACGTTACAATTTAAACAGTATTCATTTTTCATGATATTTTTAGCTCTTCACTTGTCCTAAAATCTATCTCTTCCCAGTTGTTGGTTTACTGACTAACATAGTGTTACTGTCGAATAGCAGGAGTAACAAGCAATAAGACAGTTTTTCTTTTATTTTACAGTAGACTTTTCCAGTTATTCATCTCCTTTCAAACTGAGTTCCTTTTTTCTTCTGGCTAGTGAAAGCCAAGAATTTAATCGATCCATTCATTTTTTAGTATTGATTAGTTAGTTAGTTAGTTATCTATCCAATGCATGTGTATACTTCTTTCCCTGTATATTCATATTTATTTGCAGAGCAATTATATGTTAGTTAGTTTAATCTAATTGTGAAGAATAATTTTGAGTAAATTTCTTTTCGCTTTTTTGGAGAGAAAAGCCTGCTAAACAATCTCTGCCATGTTAATTTGACATACACATGTAACTAAACTATTCGTGTACGCCTTCTCTCCGTTTTATGCCTCCAACCTGGCTTTCTGTTTTTCTTCAGTAAATTATTTCCTGAGTATACACGGTTTATAATATGAAATACATATGTATACCTATTTTGTCAATTATTATTATTGATTTATAGGTTTTTGTTTTACATAAAGAAAATCGAAGAGAATGTATTACTTACTCTGTGTGTATACCTTTGTGTTTTGTGTTAGGTTCTTTCTCTCAGTATATATTCTCTCTTCTGTTTTTCTTCTTGTTCATATATAATTCTTCTTTTGTATTCTTCCATAAATAGGTGTGTCGTTTAATTATGCCAGTTACCATGTGCTTATTACATTTGAACAAATCGATCTTTTCACATTTTACTCTAATCACATATAATCAACGAAGATAGAATAGATATAATGCACTGTATTCAATATATCCGTTTCGTATCGTTTTTTTTTGGTTGTTGTTTGAAATGCTTATCACACATCTGTGATGATTGAGTCTGACCGAAAGAGAACAAATACCTCATCAGTTGAATTAACCTTTTATTGTTTTAGCCCTACTAGTCTAGTGGATAAGGCTTTAGCGTTTGAAATGATTGATACAGGGTTCGAATCCTAGTGGAGACAACATCATCCGCTGGGCAATGCAAGTATATCGAGATGACAAGATCCGAACAGAGCGAAATACCCATTCGTAGCTTTCTATCGGTAGAGCAGTCATGAAATCTTCATATTAGATAGTAATGTTTTATATACTACTACGTTGAATACAGTAGCTGGTTGTAGTTCTTTCTTTTTCTATAAAAATGTTTCTTTCTGAGTGTTATTCCATTCGATTTTGGTCACTCAGAGAAGAAAGGCTTATTCGTCGTCTCTAGCACACGTAACTATATCGTATACTTTTCAATACTATGCAGCTTATTATTATTGTTCCATTGCGTTCCTAGTGGGACATAGGGCTTCAACTGCACGTCTCCACTTGCTTCTGTCTTCTGCTGTACTTTTCACCTGCATCCATGTTAGTCCATAATGTTTCAACTCCTCTTCACACGATCTCCTCCATGTCACCCTTGGACATCCCACTCGCCGGTAACCTTTCGGGTTCCACTCGAGTGATGGCCTGACTCGCGATGTCACCCAGCTGCCTCCTCAGCGAGTGTCCAATCCATCTCCACTTTCTCCTGCATATTTGTTGGGTGATTGGTTCTTGTTTTGTTTGTTCCCATAGTTTCTTGTTGGTGATTCTTTCCGGCCATCTGATCTTGAGTATAGAGCGAAGACAGTTGTTGATAAAAGTCTGCAACAGGCTGTTGGAAATATTCTTTGTGACCCACTGGTCAAGTTTCTGATCCGTATAAAAGAACTGATTGACTTGACGTTTGTATTGAAAATCCAAATTTTGTTGTTGATGCTGAGTGAGGAAGATTTCCAGATTGTTTGCAGGTTGGTGAATGTGTTTCTCGCCTTCCCGATTCTCGATTTGACATCCTCGTCGGTTCCTCCTGTAGTTGAGACGATACTCCCTAGATAAGTGAATGAAGTAACTTCAGTACAGGTTTGTTTCATTTATCAATTATGAACTAATATACACTCGGTGGACTTAAGGTTTATGTTACTTTACAAAAATCTTTTTTATTCACTTTGCATAAACTATTGAATGCTGTGTCTGTATTTACAAACAATAGCGCAATTTGTTTGGGTGTTCAGATTTATCTTAACTAGGGATGATTTCTCACTTCTTTTTTTCTCTCCTTTAGTCCAACTGTGGCTACAACACTGCGAAATCTGGCTGCCCTTTATCGTAGGCAAGGGAAATTTGAAGCTGCTAACATAGTAGAAGAATGCGCTATCCAGTGCAAAGGACCGTCTGCTGTTGTTAATCCTGTAAGTGCCTTTTTCACTAGTTGATATATATATATACTCAGTCTCTTGAACGTTTTTCAAATTTCAAATCAACTATTGATTTTTGCATTTCAAATTAATATTTTATTGAGTTTCGTTGTACTTTTATAAAATGATTTTGCTATCATACTTTCCAATAGCTAGGTAAGAGGTAGGTAATCGAAATCGCAAGTTTGTGTAATTTAATTAATTAATCCTCTAACTAACCAAAGAAAATTCTTACAAACCAAATAATTTAATTGTACCAATGGCATCCTTAGTAAAATTAAACAAATAGCTCTTGTAATCATAAGAACCACACGCTTAATCATTCAGTGGTCTGCGCACACTCGACTAGTATGTGAAAACGAACGTGAAAATGATCACCTAAGTGACTTTCAGTCATATCTCTTAGTCATTTACTAGACATCAACTGAAGACAGTGTATATTTAGGCAATGTTATAATATTGAGCGAAATTGCATACTACCACCTATATGTGCATGATACTTTCATAGACATTCTGCGTGTATGTGTGTGTGTGCTGTAAGATTTCATATCCGATCTGAGTTGAAAGGATTCACCAAAACATTAGTCTTCTTATGGATGATGCAATTGCATATTAAAGCTCAGACAGTTTCTTTGATCTGTTCAGTGTTCTTTTCTGTAGTCTATAATTATCGTGCGTTGGTTTACAGGGACTTGATTAGTTTCAGGATTTTATCAGGAGCTGACATCGGTTAGAAAACCCTTGGAAAACCTGGGAGTACTGGGTATCTGTTTCGTCCCATCTTGGGACTCTTCACAGTACGCACCCACTGGGGCTTGAATACAGGACCTTCTGGTTACAAAACTTATTAAGCCACTGGAACTGGATTCAACGGTCCATAGATTCTAACTTCTGCCAATTCATGATACGACGTGATCACGAGCGAATATCACGGGCGAGTATTCGTCCTCACACCCAACCTCCTGTACCCCACTGGTCACGGCTTCCCACTAGAACCCAGGTAACTACCTACCTGAGTAGGGTCAGTCACTATTCAAATTGACATTCAAATCTTGGTTTGCAGTGATTTGATTGGTTTCAGGATTTCATCATAAACTGACATCATCATTATAATTCTCCCTGATTTAATTTCGATCTTCGCTTTGCCTTAGTCTCTGGTATTCTATTAATTAACTTTTTTGTCTTCTTTTTTCATATATTGTTTTTAAAGGAAAAACATCAATTATATTATTCCATATTATAAAAATATTATATTGATGTGGTACACCTCGGGAATAGATTGCAGAATTAGGTACTAGAGTATATTGTAGGACGTAATACCACACTTCTTACATATCAATAGGTGAAGGGAATTGTAAACCTCTGTGACTCATGGGTAAGAATTGAGTGCCCAAAAGTATAGCAAACTTAGTTAATGCATTAACATTCCATTTCTATAATAATTCAAGTGTGCATTTTTTTGTTCAAACTTAGTATGTCATAATATTTTTCGTTACAACTTACAAAAATTTGCTTTGCAACTGTGAATCTAGTCGACCCCCATATCTGAAAGATTAATTTGTTAATAGCGATAGAATAAGCAACGTTTTTATTGTCCTTTCGTGTTGGTGCCACATCGGTAGGATGCTCGCCAACCACGCTTGTTATTCGGGATTCGATCCCCGGTCGATGCACTCCTTTACCTCGCTAAGCCTGTAATAATACTGGTAAATATGGAAGGTTGGGCATGAGGCTAGCAACCCCATCCCATAAAAATAAATATCACTGCTACAGAAACTTCAAAGCTCAAGCTTGAAGCCCTAGGTGTTCCACTGGGAATGTAAAGGAAAAAAATAATCCTTTCAGGTGCAGACACTGACAAAATGCAGTCTTCTAGACACAGTGAGCAAAAGAAAATCTGAGTGTATTTCGCATGCGATTCGTCCCTGTAAGGTGATGCTGTAGGTACGGTCTGCACTGTATAGTTTGAGCTTAGTAAGCGTATTGACCACTTTTCTTATTTAAGAAGTTTCGTTAGCCTTACTGGACTGAAAGAAGAAATCTCAGCATAGATACTGAAGGTTTATTTGGCATTCTCACACTGTTATCTTTGGCATAAAAGTGATATCCCACGATAAATCAAAGGAAGTATAAACTGTTCAGCAGTTCAGCGCGTCCTTTTTTACGGATGTTAAAATATGGTTTCTGACCATAGAATCTGTCATGTTAGGTTACACAATATAGTTAGTAAATAAGGTCTGAAATTTCCATCGATTGAGAGTTACCCAGGTCATGCTGAGCCACAGCCTCCCTCAACTAGTAATGTCAGCCAAAATTAGATTATGCTGGAGAGAGGTTTGAGGTAGTCAGACGAAAGTATGGGGACAACCCACGGCTAGGTAGGTGCTCACTGTGTGATTAGAGTCCCTGAAAAGGTGAGAGACTGTTGGTGACACGACCTGAAAATCGTTCTCAACAGTGTGGGTGTCACTCTTGGATTTTCCAGATTCTGATTATCCTCACTAATAATCATCCAATTATTTTTTCTCCTATAAATCCGCTATAGTTTCACTACATTTCTCACTCTACTTTTATTTGCGCTTTTCTGAACTGTCCGAACTTGAATTGATGCACTTTTGTGCAGATTTTTACCATGATAGCTCATTTCGGTTCAGTTTAGTCCTGGCTACGGTCTTTAGATGAATGCATTTATATTCATTATTTGTACTTGTCCTTTGAAGTCAATCTGTTCACGCTATCTTCATTATTTTTGTATGTCGCTGTGATTTGATGTGATAGTTTAAGTCCATTGTAGATTACTACTAGGTATTTATATTTGTAAATTGATACATTCATTCAATTGTTGTGGTGTATTACCGTAATCAACCGCTTTTTATGGAGACAATTTTTTATGGTGAAGAAATTAAATGTTCACCTCTGCTCTCTAATTATATTGTTACATTCAAGAAGTAAACATAGAATGGAGTAGTATCATACTAATTCCTGCTCAATACATGTAGCTGTCGTTGAATTAAAACTAGCAGTTAGCTACATCGATACGATTTTGCAGCAAATTGACACAGAAAATTTAGTGAATAATAGCGAAACAAATTAAAAGGTTTAGATCTTAATTTTGTTTAAAACTTTAAGTATCAGAAAATGGTCGACTGCTGTCTTGTCCTAAACTGTCCTGTCATATTACCTAATTTCCATCCCTTCAACTGATAGCATTTTGTTAACTACACCAAGCACGTATTTCACTGATGAGAGTAAAATGTGATTTTTCAAATGATTATTATTATCGTCTCCTTTAGTTCCTAGAGGAACATAGGGTTTCAGCCGCACGTCTCCACTGCGTTTGGTTCTCAGCCAACGTTTTCACCTGGCTTCGTGTCTGCCCACATGCTTTCATCTCCTCTTCTCATGACTTCATCCATGTCACCCTCAGACTACCAACTCGCCGCTAGCTATTCAGGTTTCATCCGAGAGCCTGGCGTGTGATGTCACTTGATGGTTTTCGAAGAGCATATTTTCCAGTTTGTGGGAAATGAGACATATATCATTGGCAAAGTCCAGATCCTCCAAGCTTTTTGTGTGGGTCAATTTTATGCCTGTTTCCTCATTGCCCACTGTCTGTCGCCTTATCCAGTCCACCGCAATCAGAAAAATCATTGGAGATAGTAGGCAGCCAGCCAGCTTGTCTTACTCCCGTTTTCACTTCGAAGGATTCCGTAAGTTTCCCATTGTGGATTACTTGGCATGCAGCATTGTCGTACAGCTGTTGGATGAGATGTATAATTGTCGGTGGCATCTCGTAGTAGCGAAGTAGTTTCCAAATCACCTCTCGATCGACGCTGTCTACTGAAGGCCTTTTCAAAGTCGATAAAGTTGAGTGAGGTAGAGAGCTGACTGCCATTCCAACCTCCGTTCAATGATGATCCGTAGTGTGGCGATTTGATCGATGCATGACTTGTTTCTCATGAAATTCAGCCTTTTCCGGTCGAAGTTTTTCATCCAGGGCGTGTTTGATTCTCTCCAGGATGATGCGGCTTAGTATTTTGCTTGGGATAGACAGGAGCATAATTCCGCGCCAGTTCTTGCATTGACTTAAGTCTCATTTCAAATTAGAGTAGTTTATTTAAAATATTGTTGCATAGTATAAATTGAACGAGGTTTTGAAGACAACTTATTGCTTAGGACATGTGTTACGTATGCCTAGTCATCGCCTTCCTCGACGGGCAATGTTAGTTGATATAGGGTCAGGCTGGAAAAGAGCTAGCGGCGGTCAAACCATAACATGGCACTAGTCAATGAAATCTACAACAGTTAGTCTAAGCCACGTAGGAAGGTGTAGACTTCCTGGTTGGGGTCGTCGGGACGGTAAAAACCAATGGTTGGAAACAATTGGTGACATGGCTCAAAATCGTTCCCAGTGATAGCGCAGATGCATCCACTCCTTGTGACTTATGATTTCCAATTAAACTGTTTTGTTCTTCGTTATTACTATTCCTTTGTCTCACACGTCTGTTTACTGTCTCTAATATGCATTTCTCCTCTTGTTTTGTGTGCTACATGGAGTGTGGCGACTTGAACTGCCGCACATATGTGCAAAGTTCTATGTCGAAAATAGACAGACAGACAGACTTATCGCTTAGAATTATATTACAGGACTCACATTTAGTTTATGTAGCTCAGTTATTGTTTAGTCCTCATTTCTAACTAATGTTAGTGATTGATGACTGACTGATTGATTAATGAATCAACGTTCCACTTGTCACACCACATTTAAAAAAGTACACGCATAAATGAAGAGAAAATAAGTTTATTGATGTATTGGTGGTGATGTTAGCGTGTTGCAGAGAGAACAACTTAATGAAAACAAATTGAAGATGTTTAGCATTTCGGTGTATTAGAAAAAGGATGTTGAATTATTCCTATTGAGTGTTAATTCAACGATCGAATTCATCTTTCTCCTACGAATTTAACTCTGTTGCAACCTAATCATAATAATACTCAATTTCTTATAATTATATGAATTATCTCGTTGGTATTGTGGTGAGAGCAAGCTGCTAGCCGATTGGTAGACATTGATCTACGCTGATTGGTAGAAATTAATCTAGGCTGATTCAACAACCGATCACAGCTGACCTAGACGTGGACAAATATGATTCGCAGACAAGTGGCTCGCATTTCCGAGAAATATCGAAAACGAGAAAGCAGAAGAAGACTGCCTTTGTTTGCAAACAACCAATCAGAAGACCGCCTTCTTTCTGCGGGCAGAGCCTTATTAATGTACGTAAAATACATATAAATACCTGTTGGTTTTCGTAATAAAACTGATCTGTTGCCTGGCCCTTGTCTTCTGTTGTTACAGTATCAGTAACATTCTAATTGTTTAAATGTGTAACAGACGTTATCTACACTTTTACCTTTCTGAAATATGTTTATCCAATCATTTCTCAGGGATCAAGAGATGGAGTCTGGATGTAGTATTATTGAATTTTATCAGCATGCCTAGTTTACTGATTAATTATTACCATATTTGTTTATCATTCTTCACTGTTGCCGATGCCCAGACCGAAGCAGGTGCTTGTCTTAAGGAGCTACACTCCGAGTCTTAGATGTAAAGTCTGATCTACATGACATTGGGGCAGCGTCAAGAGTTACATTCCCATAGTTTCTTGTGACCAAAACAAATTCATACGCTATCCGATTCGTTCGGATTGTGGAGCACATGTATAACACTATAGGTTTACAGTCAGGGTTTTCCAGCTCTCCTATATGGACTTGCCTGTCCACCAGTCTGGTTTTATGCGCCAGACGTCCGCTATCTCACTTTCATTTTGGTGAGGAACATCCTGGCAGTTTGAAGCCAGTGAACAGTACTTCTTTGATTATAAGCATGAATTAGACATCATTAATTGTTCTTACTGAGTGACCGACGGCAGAATAAGGTAGTCAAAGAATACTGATAGTTATAGATAGTGAGTGGTCTGCTTCATCTAGTGTGTGTATTTGTGCGTTCTACATATTTAAAATGAAATCATCGTGTCGTTTTACTCCTCAGTTTGGTTATACTACTGAGGTTATTGTTTTTATCAGGATAAGGCATGTTGTTAGACATGATGTGTGTATCAAACTGAAAAATGGCAGCATTTCATGAAGCCGTCGACTATTAATCTGAGCCACATATATGCAAATGTTGACTGTGCATCGGTCCCACATTGGTTAGGACTCTCACCGACCATGCACATGGTCCGGGTTTCGATCCCCTGCCGACGCACTGCAAAATTTGGGCTACCGAAATCACATGCTGAAAATTCTATACCTGTACCGAAAAATACGGTGTGGAATCAAGCTGTAATCAAAAATAAATAAATAATTGTCTGGTTGGAATACTCAGAGTTCTGAAAAAAAATGTATCTGGAGAATCTTTGTAATGTGTCTATAACTTGTATGCATTTAACATGGAATCCAGTCACTTCTTGTCATCTTGGAGGTTATAAAAATGTTCACTAATCTTTTGCCTGTTATATTCATAGTATGTAGCTGTATAACCCTCTACTTGATAAAACATGTACTATCTCTCTGAATTGTACTCTTTCTCTTACTATTATTACTATTATTATATACTCTGGTTGTTCAGTTCTCTTCGTGTTTTATGGAGAAAAGAGTTTAACACCCTGCTAAGTAGTAGGTTTGTGTAATTTTCTTGCGTAATGATACAAACCTGCCTGCCTACATTGAATTCAGTGCTGGCTGCATAATTCTGTTTTTTATGTTTCATTGTATTTGAACTTAATATGTAAGCAGTTTCATTTATCTTCACTTCATGAGTTGATGATAGAAGGCGTAAACATTATTGTCCATTAATTACATAATGTTATATGTGTTGAATTATCTTACCACAGTATAACTGACTACTGGTTACTTAATCGATTAGAATAAACTGAACCGATGCTAATTTACCTGTCGATAGTGTGACCAAGTGGTCATAACTCTTGGAGAAACTATATTACTACTCATAGAGCCTCCCATAGATACAACATCTATTCACGAATATATATATATATATATATATATATATATATATATATATATTGTGAAAACCTTTTTTCCAACAGTTAATGAACTTTCAAGTATTGGTTTGGTAGGGATTTTGTTTGATTGTATGGAGGATTTCATCATGAGCTGACATCAGTTAGAGAACCACTGGAAAACCTGGGAGTACTGGACAGCTGTTTCGTCCTAGTTTGGGACTCTTCAGCAGTACGCACCCACTGGGATTCGAACCCAGGATCTTCTGGTTACAAGGCGAGCTCGTAGACCATTGAGCCACTGGGACCCGATCCAATGGTCCTTGAATCCCGGTGGGTGCGTACTGCTGAAGAGTCCCAAACTAGGACGAAACAGCTGTCCAGTACTCCCAGGTTTTCCAGTGGTTCTCTAACTGATGTCAGCTCATGATGAAATCCTCCATACAGTTAATGAACTGATGGAGAAGATTTGTAGCTCAGGCTACTTGTGGAGGTGTGAAAACGCACAAAAACCACCAATCACGTTCAAGGTCACCGGGAGAGATGATTAATAAACTCGTGGAGAAATCTAAAACCTCACTTCACAGGGAAGTATGCGCTGAAGATGTCACCTAGTAGGGTGATGAAAGCTTCGCAAATTAACTATCCAGCTCAGAGAACACAACCACATCAAAAAAGTTAATGAACTGTTATTGTGTTACACAAAATATAAAACATTTAACAGATAGCAAGCAAACCATTAACAAAGGGCAGTTTGAATGGTGGCTTAGGTAATCAATGAAATCCTACTGACAAATTTGTGACTATAAAACACTGTGACTGTATTTCTTCTCCTTGTTTAGTATAACACAAAGATAATTGTGAATGTTACAACAACAACTGACTCGTTCTCTTGTCTCTCAATTTGGCTTAGGTTAGCATTCATTTGTTGTCGATTGTTTAGATTTAGTGAATATAACTGCAAAATATGCGGAATACCTTAAAGAAAATGTATCTTCATCTTGATTGTATTGTTATGTCTCTTTAGTTGATTGAGATTGATTTTTCTTTATACTGTCTTATGACTTTTGTTTTGTACTTCACCTTCTTATTGATGTGAAGATGCAAAGTATAAAAACTTGAATTGTTATTCGGTAATTTTATTCATATTATTATTCTCCTGGGTGTAACATAAGAACATAAGCCTTCAATAACAGATCTCTATTTCATCTTGTTCTCTGCAATCCTTATTAGTCGGCTTCACGATTGCACATAAGCTATCATCTCCTCCGCCTCATCCTCGGACGCCCAACTTGCCGTTTCCCTATTGAGTTCCACTCAATGTGTTATTCAGTGTTAGTAGATTTTATTTCTTCAGTATCCAAGGGTAAATTAGTGTGATTTATCATTTTTCAAATAATAATAATGCCACTGGAATGAATACGGTTAAGTAGATACTTCTGCAGTTGTTATTCATTTAAGTATAGTTTCCGTTTCTTTCGTAGAATTGATTTTCGGTGTAAATATAGACACTATTGAACTCTGACTTATTTCAAGCTTATGCGAACCGGCTGACTTACTGTTTTTAACACTGAGCACTAGAGTATTCAATATACTGATTATATTAATATGTTGGTAGTCTGTTTGAAGATATAAAATGCATATAATCTAAACTATCTAGGCTCATTACTGAACTTGTACACTTTCCTTTACTGTTTTTAAATTTCCATTTAGTTAGGACAATTTATACTCGTTTTGTATGCCTGCCTATTTAATAATTTCTCATTTTTAAATTAGACTGGGGACGAACTGGAACATAACCCACGATTTCCAGCCAAAGATCAATATCCTAAACGATGCTATCCACGGCATTCCTATCAACGTGTTGAAGATCGATCCATGATCACTTCATCACGTAGTCTTCTTGGACCTCCAAATGGTTATCCTATCAATAAACGATCACTTCCTTCTGCCCGAGGTGGTTTCAGGTAGCTTAGCTTTCTCTCCTAGTGCTCAGCCTATCCTCCGATTCTGCCGTTTATTTTGCACTTAACGATTTATGGTAAAAAAAATAATGATAAACTTTAGCCTTAGTTGTAGAGCTGCTATTTGCTGCACTGCATGACTTTATAATGAAGTGAATCTATCACAATTTCTAGTCTATGATTTAGCGATTTAACCAAAAAAATTTGCTTTCTTGTGATAATGACGATGATGATTCAGCGTTTTATGAAGCTATTCATTTTATTGGTTGGTTGGTTGGTTTTCTGTGTTTTTTATACCTCCTGCCTTTATATGATGATAATTATTACACTATTTATTTTTATCAGTGCTATGATTTCCCCCCGCCCCCTTTGTTTTACATTTATCCCTATTTTCATAAATTAGAGGTCATTTGTATTCGTGTTTTGTAGGGATACTAATTTTAACTGGTGACGAAATTATTATTATTATTATCATTATTATTGTTACTATTATCATTCTTACGATAGTTAGAGTATAGTCAAGTGGTTGTTAGACACACGTACGTCACAAATTGAAGTTTTAAAGTGAATACTTGTGAACATTGTTTTATATGATTTCATATCCAAGTGTAGAGTCAGCAGTAGAAATAATTTTCGTAGTTATTGTTTATTTCTCTACAACGTTTTTTGCTGTTGTTATTGTTGCGTGGTTACTTTCATATCATGTGCTACTGTGGTGATCATATTATTACTATTACTACTACAGAAGGCATTATATTCCAAGAGGTAGAATACAGGTAACATTTAAAAAATGTCTCCCCCGGGGGGGGGTGGGGTGGAGGACGATGGTATTAATTAAGTACTACTGTCATTCATTCTTACTTGTCTCCAACTACGTGAAATTGACAAAATAATCAGCAGTATGAATTCTATACTTTTATCAAGTGTATCATCGTGTGTTGAGGATGTATGTAGAGAGGATTTCACTACTGTCTCTTTATGTTTCTCCACTCCTTTTTAAAAAAATATTTAATGCTTATCTAATCATTATCATTATACTGCCACTACTATGACTACTATTACTCTTAATATGGCTACTGTGAACAGTTTTCGGTGTATATATATGCCTTACGGATAAATGTTTCTACACACACACACACACACACACACACACATTATTCAGTTATCAACACTTTGCTACAAATAATTTTATGGCATAATATGATTAAGCAGTAATGACAGTTTTAGTATTTATTACCTGTTGTGGAGTGCGGAAAATAATAATGACATTACTATCATCTTTTCCTGTATTTTATGTACTTTCATTGGTGTTAATGTTAACTTTTATTTTCCTTCTCTTTCCGTCCAAAAATCTATGCAAAACGATATGATATGATTCGATGGATGTGTGTTGTAATAACAATGCAAATAATATAATAATGCGCGGGGGACATTCATCATGTTTGCAGCATGAAAAAAGCTCAGTCAATGTCAACGCTTCCAGGAAGCTGGAATCATAAGGTGTCTTATATGCAGGTTAGTGTTACACTTCTTTTTTGTTGATTATTTTGTGGGATATGACAAAAACGTGAAAGTCTAGTGATATGCATACACTGTTGGGGGGGGGGGAGGGGGGCAATGAAATTAACAAAAATAGTGAGTTAGCCTGTAGGGATTTGGTTTGTTCCAAGTTTGATCATGAATTGATATCAAAAACCAGGGACAACTGTTTCATCCTAGTTTCCTGGTGCTCTTCATCAGTATACACGCATGACCTCATCCACGAAGTATCCAGTGTTGGGACTTTGGGTTACGAAATGAGCTTGTTGTCCACTCAGCCATTGGGAGGGGACAGTTCAGTGGTCCATGTATTCAAACTTTTATCATTTTGATATGTTAGCGCGACTGCTAGCCAATGTTATTGGCGAGTATTTGTTGTTTTGACATCCAGTCTGGTGGACCTCATCGATCATGACTTCTTACTAAAACAACAGTCTATTACTTCCTAGTAGTTCCTAATGGGTCAAATTTGAAAGATAGTGATTATTATTATTGTTCCCTTGGGTTCCTAGTGGAACATAGGGCTTCAACTGCACGTCTCCACTTGCTTCTGTCTTCTGCTGTACTTTTCACCTGCATCCATGTTAGTCCATACTGTTTCAACTCTTTTTCACACGATCTCCTCCATGTCACCCTTGAATGTCCCACTCGCCACTTCCCTTTCGGGTTCCACTCGAGCTATGGCCTGACGCGCGATGTCACCCACCCAGCGGCCTCCTCAGCGAGTGTCCAATCCATCTCCACTTTCTCCTGAATATTTGTTGAGCGATTGGTTCTTGTTTTGTTTGTTCCCATAGTTTCTTGTTGGTGATTCTCTCCGGCCACCTAATCTTCAGTATAGAACGAAGACAGTTGTTGATAAAGGTCCGCAGCCTGTTGGAAATATTCTTTGTCACACACTGGCCAAGTTTCTGATCCGTATAGAAGAATTGACTTGACGTTTGTATTGAAAATCCGAATTTTGTTGTTGATGCTGAGTTGAGTGAGGAAGATTTCCAGATTGGTTTCAGGTTGATGAATGTGTTTCTCGCCTTCCCGATTCTCGATTTGACATCCTCGTCCGTTCCTCCTGTAGTTGAGACAGTGCTCCCTAGATAAGTGAATGAAGTAACCTCTTTCAAATCCCTCCCGTTGATGGTGATTGGCGCTGTATGTTGCTGTTGTTGTTGTTGTTGATTGGTGGGTTATTTTCATAACCTCCGTCTTGTCTATGTTCACCTGGAGTCAGTCCTGTCTTTGCTGCTTCTTCGACCAGTTTGTCGGTTTTCGCTTGTATGTCTTCGATTTTGTGTGACATCAAACATAAATCATCCACGCGCGAAATCCAGGTCTTCTAGGTTCTTCACGTCGGTCCAGGATATCCCTGTTTTCTTGTTTGCCACTGTCTGACGCATAATCCAGTCCACCACAATTAGGAATATCATTGGTGATAATAAGCATCCTTGTCTGACCCCTGTGTTTACTTCAAACGCCTCGCTGAGTTTACCGTTGTGGATCACTTGACATGGAAAGATAGTGGGATTATTTTTAAATAAAAAGAGAATGAAAGAATAAGAATGGAAAAACAGAGGGTTTTTAGAATATGTTGTGATTACTTTTTTCATTGATATCACCTGTCAGTATCCAAACCATTGAGTTTCATTCTATAACAGGCGTATTAGGACTGACTTCCCATTGGTCTCTAAAGCATAAACTTAGACTGCTTTGAGTGAGCAACGTGTTTTGATGTGAGCATGCTAAACCTACTACTTTTTTAAATTAGCGTTGTATGCAAGAACTGATTCCAGCTGACGAAACGTATATGGTCTCCTTAATTAAAATTGCCTACATAAATTTCAGTTGCATCAGTGGTAATCGTAATGGTAATCATAAAAATCTAGGTTCATCTTAAATGGACACCATTTTCTTCGCACTTATTCTTATCTCTCTCTCTTCAGACGACAGATTTGTAATTTGTCGTTAGCACTGCAGATTGTGAATTCGCATTCACTTCTTGTGTGTTAGTTCAAATAGCTTTAGCCAGTAGTAGTACAGTATTTTCCAGTAATCGGAATGATGTCAGTTCAATCGAATCGAATTGAATCTTCTATACATTCTGTGCGGAAATGATCTTGAGATCGTTGGTTAGAGTTATAATCAATTATGAATTGTTGTGTTATGGTTTATTATATAAAACGCATCTTAACACTTTGTTGCTGTTTTTTTCCAACAGTAGTATATACACTGACACTTTAATAATACAATGACAAATTCAAACTTGTTAAGCAGTAGATTTTTATTATTTCAAAAAGATTAGAGACAAAGTAATCGATTTCAGATAACGTCCTTCCATTATTATTATTGTTTTTTGGTACTGACAGTGTGTATAAACTCTATGCGCTTACTTGAACTCATTAAATCATTCAATTGTTACCTTTCTTATTAATATTTTGAAGAAAAATGTCGCATAGGTAGGTAGGTATAAGCTGTAATAAAATTTCTCTCTAAATAGTGATTTATTGATTCCCAATATAGTTAGTTACTTCTTTCAATCATATTTTGTCGTCTTCGTCTACCTGTCTGTATTGACAGTGATTGGCTAACACAATCGATAAAATCGTCTGATTTACTTCAATGTAAAAGATAGATAGATAGATAAGTAGGCTGAGAGAGTTTAATTGAATGTATAATTATGAAGAAATTGTGTGAAACATCACCACCTCTTTCTTAAATGGTGTTGAATGGTGTTAAGAACATTTCCTATTGACGATTTAAAAATTATGTGATGCTTCTTTTTCTCTCAATTAACGCATATTAATTAATTTATTATTTCTGCTTAATTCATCTAATATTTGTAGCAAGAAAGGCTTCGACAAAATCGTGGTACAAAAGAATCTTATTCCCGGGATAGTCATACTTCTTATAATGGTAATAGTATAATAACTAACAGTAATCATAATGATTATTATTTCCCCTTTGCTGGATATGGTACACAATCTCAATATATATCTGATTTTAATCCACCAGTGGACAACAATTGAAATCATTAACACAGTTGTTTTCCCCTTTCATTTGTTTGTTCTCTCTCTCTCGCTGTCTGTCGTCTATCTGTGCGTGTTTCGTGGTTTCATCATTGAAAATTGTTTTGTTTCATTTCAGCGTTTTAGGTTAAACTTCCATTTGTCTGTTTCTGTGTGTGTGTGTGCGTCTTCTCCGTATTACATGCTCATTTCTACCTCTTAACAATTGTAACAATAGTTCTTGTATCATCTGGATATTATATGCTTATATATTTACATATGTGTGTATGTAATTTGCCCTATATATATACATATGTTCGCGTCGATGTGAAGGAGGAGGTTCGAATGTGATTGCTTTATTTCTGTCAGTCACCACGTTTTTACATCGTTAGTCTGCCTTCGGTTTGCTGCAATTGTCATCTTGTTTCATCATATCGTCATCAACATTTATACATATTTTATTTGTTTTACTACTATGTGAATATTAACTTGTTACTATTAATACTAATATTATTTATTTGGCTGTGAAATTATGAAGATATCTATCTATCTACCTACCTATACATACTTATATATATATGTACCAAATATATACAATATCTATCTATCTGTTCATCCATTTTGAGAAGTATTGGTGCATATTGACACATATACAAGCTGTTGAAGGTGACATATCGTCTATATGCGTATGAGTTGCCTTTGTTTGCTTCGTCATTATTATTACTACTACTATTACTACTATTATTATTATGATTATCAGCATAATCATCAACATCATCATCATCGTCATCTTCGGTGCTACTAACTGGATTTCGCATAGGAACTGAGTATTTTATACCGTAAACTCTTCTTTCACGAAAAAAAAGCACCGCTTTATGCTGTTCATTTCAGAGATGATTTTCGAAAGAAAAAGACTGATGGCGAATATATATATATATATATATATAAACAGAAACTCTATTTTCCACTTGACATAAGTAACTTTGAGTATAAATACTGTGTTCCCTCTGTGTAAACTCTTACATCTTGATCATTATTATTATTATTAATACAGTTACTATTTTTTATCATTTTATCATTCTTTGTGTATGCAATACGAAATGTGCGCCTAATTTCATTATTATTACTATTATTATTATTATTATGTCAACAACAGTGTGACTACATTCCTGTTTACCTGCCTGCCTGCCTGTCTCTTCCTGTCAACCATCTTGCACATGTTTGCCTTCTTTTTTCTTCTCTTGTTTAGCTTGAGATAAGTATGTTATATACACTATGCTCCATCTTTCTCATCAAATAAAATTATGCATTTCTTAATAACTTTTTGTTTTTCTTTCTTTTTCTTTTTTGTCTCTGGCTTGTTTTCTCTCCCATAGAACACGGTACCTTTTCTCTCTCCCTCCCTCCCTCTATTTGTCAATGTTGTGCACTGCCTTAAGGACATTTCAATATGTCAATGCTTAATTCACAAAAAAAGGATGTCTTTTTTTGTTTTCAATGTTAAAGATTCCACCTTCATTCGGTGTATCCTCGTTATGTTACGTTTATTTGTTTATCATGCATAAGTATATATTATGGAAACGTTTATTCTTACTCAGAGGAATGATAAGGGACTTTGTAATGAAGAAAAGATTTGTAGTTCAGCTGGATGATATTGGTATAGCTGTATTGTCTGAACTCGATTTGTTTAACGTCATATTATAGGCTCGCACTGATTATGTTATCTAGGAAGATAATGGGAGGTTTGTGATTAAACTATCAAGTTCAAAGAATTGTGACTTTGTTTTAGCTCTGATGAATAATGAAGGATACTAGTTGTCAGTCATTCACACGTTTATTTAACAAGACATTAGTCACTAGTGGTAATAGTGTCTAGTTTGCATACGATAGGTGAGACATGCCTTAAATCTGATAGTCGAAATGTATACATCTACAGCACAGTACACTAAAATTATTTTACATAATGGTGACCCTAGTATTGGCAAATACGGCTATGCATGTTTAAATATTCTTCCTGGGTTCCTGAAATAGAAGCAGTATTGCTGTATCGTAACTACAGAGTTCAAGGGACAACTGCATATAACCACTCGAACACGGCCTGTTTGATATGCTTTTTGCAGTTGCGTCCATAGTAGTATCATACGCCCTGCTATGGACTACCCTAAGGTAAATCGGGATGTACAATTTTTGGAGTTGACCTTTATTAACCTCTATAGGGAACATCTTACTGCCGTTACATCCTTACTCAACAGGAGCACGACTTCACCCACAAACCCCAGTCTGTCTGTTTTCGACATAGAACTTTGCACATATGTGCGGCAGTTCAAGTCGCCACACCCCATTTATTTTTATTTATTTTATTTATTTTGGTTACAGCTTGATGCCACACCGTATTTTCAGTACAAGTATGGAATTTTCAGCACGGATATCGGTAGCCCGAATTTTGCAGGCCGACCAAAGACATCGGGTGTGTATCGGCAGGGGATCGAACCTTGGACCATGTGCATGGTCCATGTAGCCCATGTAGCACACAAGGCAAGAGAAGAAAGTAGAAGAACTGCATAATATAGACAGTAAAGAGAGGTGTGAGACAAAGGAATAGTAATAACGAAGAACAAAACAGTTTCATTGGAAATCATAAGTCACAAGGAGTGGATACATCTGCGCCAGCCATTGAGAACGATTTTGAGCCATGTCACCAATTGTTTCCAACCATTGGTTTTTACCGTCCCGACGACCCCAACCAGGAAGTCTACACCTTCCTACGTGGCTTAGACTAACTGTTGTAGATTTCATTGACTGGTGCCATGTTTTGGTTTGACCGCCGCTAGCTCTTTTCCAGCCTGACCCTATATCAGCTAACATTGCCCGTCGGTCGAGGAAGGCGATGACTAGGCATACGTAATGCATGTCCTAACCATCTCAGTCGATGTAATTTCACAATTTCGTCGATTGATTTCCCCGCCTTACCTAGCACTCGACCGAAGCCTAACCTCAATATTGCTCACCTTATTATACCACTTCACACGGGAGATAGAACGCAGACACCTACGATCAAAGACAGCTAATCTTTTCATGTCTTCCGCTCTCAATGTTCAGGTCTCACAGCCATAAAAGAGGACGGAGCGGACTGTTGAGCAGTACACATGCCCTTTGGTCGATAGTTGGATATGACGTCTACGCCAGAGACGGCGTAAACTGGCATATGCGAACCTAGCCCTCTCTATTCGTACTGAGATTTCGTCGGAGATCAACCCGTTGGGGCTGATGGTACTTCCCAAGTAATTGAAGCGGTCAACATGTTCTACCACTTAACTTCCTATTTCTAATCTAGGAGTCGGTGTAGTCCAATCCTGTGACATCATCTTGCATTCGGCGGGAGCGAATTGCATGCCAAACATTCGTAGATTGCAGGTCAGGGTGTTCAGAAGACTCTGCATTTTGACAGCGTCCTTGCCTAGAAGCACTATATCGTCTGCATATTCTAAGTCAACGAGATTATTTCCTGGTAGCAAGTCAATCCCTGAGTCTCTGAAGTGAGTTAGGGTTAAGTCCATTAGTACATCTATGATGAAGTTGAATAGAAATGGGGATAATGGGCATCCTTGACGGACGCCACTAGTCGTCGTCACTTCAGATGATAACTCGCCGTAAGCACTCACCTGGCTGCATGAGTACGAGTAGAGTACCTTAATCAGTGCAATGTATGTTTTCGGTATTCCCTTTACAGCCAAGCATCGCCAGAGAACCTATCGGTCAACAGAATCGAATGCCGCCTTTATTTCAAGAAATTTAATGATTGTTGGACGCCGGTAGGAGTGCCTATGTTCTAGAATCTGTTGGAGGGTGAAGATATGATCAATACACACCCTCTTCCTGGCCTAAAGCCTGCCTTGGTTTTCTCGTGTTTGTGCGTCCCGAGCACCACTTAGTTTATGCATGATTATTGAGCCTAGGATTTTAGACATCATATTAGTCAAGCTAATCCCTCTGTGATTATCACAGGAAGCCTTGTCTCCTCAGACACAGTGTAAAAGACATACACTATGATGATAGTTACTTTTAGTGTTAACGGCTATCCAAATGACCTTTTTGTCACAGTAGAACCTAGAAGAACATCAGTCAAAGGCAGTGTAGCTCTTCGGATTAATGTGATATGCAAGATCCATCACCATATCAAGGTATCAGCTTTCAGCTGGGCGTCTAAATATATTCACTTTGCCTTAACGCTTTGTTTCAAGCCATTTAACGATATAACTATTTAGTCATTATATATTCACTATAAACCAGTTTAGTGCGAATTTTCAGCAGTAGTGTGTTAGTAGTGAAAGTCCATTGTTCTGTATTGATCGTTTGATTGATTTACTTTGTTCTTTGACCTCCGGTGTGGGCAAACCACTATGTCCGTGTTATATTGCCAATTAGAATTGTAGTAGAAAAAAAATTAGATTTTCATAGTTAAACGATTCATATAAGGTTAGTTAGTAGTCTAATGGTATTGATTAAGGTAAATCATTTCAGCGTACTTGTTTAACATAACTCTAATTTGTTTTGAACTATTTTGTAGTCATGTATTTTAGTATACTTGTTATTTTACAACATGCGATATATAAGGCTTAGTATTGAAACCAACGTTGTATGCTGTATACAAAATTCTATTATTTATCACGTGTAAAACTATAGCCTGTATAGTTTGTGCATTGGTTAAACTTTGTGAACTGTTATAAGTGGTTAATAGTCTTGGAGTTACTATGATTTGCGAATGTTCAATGTAGAATTGTTCCCTCATCTTTTACACGTGTCTACACACACACTCACTCACCATGAGTATGCCCCTCTCAATCACAGATATGTGTCTACTATGCTGTTTATCAGCCTGACTAAGAGCAGCTCACACACACACTGTCATTTGCAGCGGAGAGTAGTTGGTTGTAAGTTATCTAACTGGCCGTTTGAAGTATGATCAGTTAATTCGTGACTTAAGTGTTTAAAAGCTTATGCTTTGTTTATGGAAAGACCTTCTTCGCCTTTGCAAGCTAAGGAACACTGAATTAAGCTTCTTTTGGATGAAAATCTTAACTTCTTCTAGTTGTTTAATTGTAATTGTTTTCAGCCAGCATAAGGTTTTTGCTCTGTGAATTAGTTTGTGTATACAAATTAAGGAATAATTTCGTCGGAGTTGTTATTTGGTGCACAACAATGTCTCCTATCAATCCAGTTTTCATTTTGGCTAATTATCCAGGAATTTAGACTATGCAGATTCATCAGGATTATTGTAAGCTCAAACACTACATATTATGTTATAATTCTTAACTGTCATGTGTAAATCATTGGTACGTCGGTGGCACAGCCGTAAAATGCCCGCCAACCACGCATGTGGTCTGGGGTTCGATCCCCGACCGACGCACTCCTTTACCTCGCTAAGCCAGTAATAAGACTGGTAAAGAAGGAAGGTTGGGCATGAGGCTAGCGACCCCATCCCGTAGAAATAAAATACCACTGCTGCAGAAACTTCAAGCCACTAGCTTGAAGCCCTAGGTGTTCCACTGGGAACGTAAGGGGAATAAAAAAAATGCGTAAATCATTCCCAAGTACTAGCTCAAAGTATTGTGGATACCTTCAATGTCCCTATAGAATTCAAAGTACTTAAGTCGATTATTGCATCTGGTAGAAAGTCAGTCCTTGTAATGTTAGCGATATGGAGTATCAAAGCAGAAGTTAACCTGCAACAAAGCTGAGTACAAATGAAGAGAGTGACTTTGGTTGTAATAAAAGAGTCTTCAGTAGTATGATGTACTTGTCTGGTGCATCGTTACGAGAAGTGTTAGTCAAATTTAGTCTTTGTAATTAAGCTCAGTGACCATTAACCATATGCATAATTATTTAGCATGTAACTCAGCTTACAACAAGCTAGAGAAGATTTGTAGTTCAGGTGGATGATTTGCAAATAGCAGTGTTCTCTGAGGTGGTTGGTTAAATTGCGGAGCTTTCGTCATCCTTCTGGACAACATCTTCAGCGCGAATTCTAGCATAAAGCGAACTGATTTAAATTCTCATTCATGGAGAGTTAAGTTAAAGAATTTCCAACACTACTGTCAAGTCAATACTTCTACGTAGTTCAAA